GAACAAGGTGGTGATGAACACCTGTCATCCCAGCACTCAGGACTGTGCCAGGAGACCCATAGGTTGAGGCCAGCCTGGGTTATGTAGTGAATTTGAGGTTAACCGGAGCTTCACAGAAAGCCCCTGTTTTAACAAACAGCAAAAATTTTTAAAAATGAAATGCAAAGTAATAACATTTGTAGAATTTATACTATAGAATTAACTTAATAACACTGAAATGGAAAAAATCCTTTAAACAGGATGAAAAAAAAGAAAAAAAAAACACTAGCCATCCAGAAAACTATTAATAAATTAGATAAATTAAAAGCAAGAGCTAGGACTGGAGAGATGGCCCGGTGATTCAGAACACTTGCAGCTCTTGCACCCATGTGGTTGCTGTCACCACTGGATCCAACTCTGGTTCCAGAGGCTCTTATCTGAGGTGCTCTCTGGTGCATGCATGTGGTACACCTACATATGTTCAGGAAACACTCATACACATAAAACAAAACTATCTTTTAAAAATAAAATAAAGGGCTGGAGAGATGGCTCAGAGGTTAAGGTCACTGGCTGCTCTTCCAGAGGTCCTGAGTTCAGTTCCCAGCAACTACATGATGACCCATAACCTTCTATAATGAGATCTGGTGCCCTCTTCTGGTGGGCAGGGATACATGCAGACAGAAAACTGTATACATAATAACTAAATAAATAAATGAGCTTTTGCTTGGTGGTGGCCCACGCCTTTAATCCCAGCACTCGGAGGCAGAGGCAGGCAGATCTCTGTGAGTTCAAGGCCAGCCTGGTCTACAGAGCGAGTGCCAGGATAGGCTCCAAAGCTACACAGAGAAACCCTGTCTTGAAAAACAAAAACAAAAGAGAGAGAGAGAGAGAGAGAGAGAGAGAGAGAGAGAGCTTTTGTTTATTCAAAACTCTGTTCAGCATGTGGAAAGGCAAGCTGCCCAGAAGGACTGGATATTTGCAATAAACCAACAAATTGCCAACTGACAAAAGACTGAATTACTACCAATTAAGATGATGGGACGTGAATAGGCACATCACAAAGAGAATTTCCAAGTGGTTAACAAAAACCATGAAAAGATATTCAGCCACATTAGTAATCATTAAAATGCAAATTAAAATCATAATGGGGAACTGGAGTGATGGCTCAGTTGTTACGAACACTAGCTGGTCTTCTAGAGTTCAATTCCTAGCAACCACACGGTGGCTCACAACCATCTGTAATGAGATCTGGTGCCCTCTTCTGGCCTGAAGGGATACATGCAGACAGAACACTGTATACATAATAAATAAATCTTTAAAAAATATAATGGGATATGTCTTAGTTAGGGTTTCTATTGCTGTGAAGAGACCATGACCATGGCAATTCTTAGAATGGAAAACATTTAATGGGCTGGTATAGAGCTTCAGAGGTTCCCTACATTATCATGGAGGGACATGGTGATGTGCAGGAAGTTACGGTGCTGGAAAAGGATTGGGGAGTTCTTCATCTTGCAGGCTACAGGAAGTGGTCTGAGATACTGGACACGGCTTGAGCATATATGAGACCTCAAAGCCTGCCCCCACAGTGACACACTTCCTCAAACAAGGCCACACCTATTCAACAAAGCCACACCTCCCAGTAGTGCCACTCCTTTTGGGGGCCATTTTCTTTCAAGCCACCACAGATAATACTTCCTACTTACCAGATTGGCCAGAATTAAGGATGAGCCAGTGTTAGCTATCATGTGCTGTAATGTGTGTAATATACACACACAAGTATAATTTGGTAGATCTCACTGTAACAGATGTAATACCCAAAGTTAAACATACACATACTCTAGAGCTGAGCATTCTAATATCCTAGAAACATACCAGAAACATGTGCATATGTGCAGCAAAGATAGATGTACTGGAATACATACAAGAGCCTCACATGCTGTGCCCAAAAGTTAGAAGCAACCCAAATGATTATTGCAGTACAGGCTGATAGATTGTGGCATAGTTGATGGGCATGGTGCCACATGCCTTTAATTCCAACACTTGGGAAGCTAAGGGAGGGAGATCTCTTTGAGTTGGAGGCCAGCCTGGTCTACTTAGTTCTGGAACAGTCAGGGCTATCTATGTAAAGAGACTATCTCAAAAAAACAGACAAAACAATAAAATCATGACGTAGTGCTACAGCGGAACTGTATGTGATAATAAAAATGGGCCATAGTGAAATTGTGAGTGAGTCTTACAAACATAATGTTGAGTAAAATAAGCAAGACACTCCCCAATGCTTAATTGTCCAATTATATGAAATCCCAAACTTGAAAACTGGGCCAATGAGATGGCTCTGTGGGTTAAGATACCTGCTGCCAGGCCTGAGGACCTTAGTTCAATGCCTGGGACCCACATAGTGGAAGAAAAGAAACAACTCCTACAATTTGTCTTCTGATGACCTCTTGCTGAGTGTGCATACAAAGAGAAGATAAATATAACCTTTTAAAAAACAGTAAAAACTATAGTGCATATATATGTATTCATATATTGTAAAACTTTCAAAGAGCAGGAAGAAAAAAAGTCTCAGTGAAAAGCAAAAGAGTGGTATCCCTGAGACAGGAGAGGCTACAGGGTTGTGGGCAACTTTGGTGACTGCCTGGGTGGCTAGTTCTATAGACATGTGCTTCTTAACAAATCACGCTGTAACTGGTTTGCTTTGTGTAAATACAGAAAACTCATAGAAAAGTAAAAGTAACATGGAGGAGGACAGTGGGGAGGGAGGCAAGTTAGAAGACACGTAACAGCACATGTATGAAAATGCCAGAACGAGACCTGTTACTATGTATGGGAACTTAAAAAAAAATTAATTAAAAGAAAAACAAAACCAAAGATCTTTTCCTGCTGTAAGAAAGAAACATCAAAAGTTAAGGCTAGGAATGGAAGAAGGTAACAGATTATTTTTAAAACGTATATTTGTTTAGTTTATTTGGGAACACTAAAGCCCTATGTAGTGATTAGGGGGTGCTGAATGTCAGTACCAGTTGCTAGAACTGAGAATAGAGGAGCAGGTAGGGACACTGAGTTCATCCAAAAAAAATAATAAAGCTGTTAATTCAAAGTCTGGAGGCTGATCTCCAAAACCAAAGGAGTCCTGGAGTGTAAATGACCAAACAAGAACTCATTTCCCTAACAGGCCCAGCATGCAATGCTCAGAGCTATCCATTGCCTATCCCAACTCTGAAAGCTCTTAACTCCCTTCCTCCCCGACCCTCACCCCCCATCTTAATCATGAGTGAAACCAAAGATCATCAAGTTCCTAAGCAAAGTCTTTATAAGACAAAAGCCACAGAAAGTAACGTGACGTCCTGAAGGCTTAAACCTGTAAAAAAAAAGAAAATGTCTTGTGAAAAGTGATATGTGGGCTGGAGAGATGGCTCAGAGGTTAAGAGCACTGACTGCTCTTCCAGAGGTCCTGAGTTCAATTCCCAGCAACCACATGGTGGCTCACAACCATCCGTTATGAGATCTGGTGCCCTTTTCTGGTGTGCAGATATACATGGAAGCAGAATGTTGTATACATAATAAATAAAATTTTTTTAAAAAAGTGAGATGTGCTAGCAAGTCAGACAGCAGTGCAGTGTTCCTTTTGAGAGATCTGCAAACTGTTCTTGTCCATTGTTTTTGTTCTTTGTGTTGTCCCACAAACAGTATCTTTGTGTTATTGTCATGATTGGGGGGGGATGAGATGATAGTATACTGATGGGAACTGATATGAAAGGTTAAGTTGTTAAGACATGGAAGAAAGGACAGAGAAGGAGTCTGTATATCTCTCTCATGGAGCAAGCAGCCTCCGAACTGCTCAGCTAACAGCCTGCTCCTCTCCGTAACTTCACTTAGATTTTTTTCTCTTTCATGTAAACTCGCACCCTCCTCCCATGTGTCTGTCTTCATCTCCTTGTTTCTTGGTGTCTCTTCTCCCTGAAGATCACTACATTTCAAGCTGTCCGAAAGGTATCCAACGGAAATGTGCTATGAGCTAAATTCTTACTGTCTGCTCTGCCGCCGTTGATTGGCTGGTCGTTTTGAATCGGTAGTAGAGCAATTTCACATGACTTTCCACCCTCCCTCTCAGGGGCAACGGCTGGTTTCTGTGGACCTGCTGTTTGATCCAGCAGCACTGAGATGTGGGAGAGAGGAAGGAAAGCCTATGTATCTTTGTCTGCCTTTTGGATGTCATCTCTTGGTGTATGCCTGGATCTCACCTTTCATGTTTGGTCTATTTCCTAAATCTTAAGTAAGAAAAAGCCATAAAGTCTTACATTAACTTTTCAATGTTGCTTTTTACGGTGCCTTACCCATCCTTGTAATCTGTGTGGCACAGTCGTTAGCAGTATTCCGAAGAAACAAATAACTGGCTGGTGTGAGTAGTGGAGAGCAGAGAATGAAAGCAGCCCTTCCTGAGTTCAGGACAGCTGCTCCCTTTGGCAGACCAGATCCTGCATCCAAAGGTGGCCTGCAGCGTTCTCAAAAGAGATCACAGCTTGTAGCGGCTTGTCATTGTGAGCTTTGTTTGTGTCTCTGCTTCATCCTTCACTTTGTTCAACATTTTGGCCCTCCAAAACTCCCTGCCCCCCCCCATAGATGACTCCGTCTCTTTTTGTGGCCCCTTCATTCATTCTTTAATTCATTTCTTTTCTTCTTTCCTATTGTTCCTTGCAACTTCCTGGGATTTTGTTGTTGTTGTTTTGGTTTTTCAAGACAGGGTTTCTTTGTGTAGCCCTGGCTGTCCTGGGACTTTGTCAACCAGGCTGGCCTTGGACTCACAGAGATGGCCTGCCTCTGCCTCTTTAGTGCTGGGATTAAAGGTGGTCATACCACCACTGCCAGGTTACTGTTCTTTAAAAATTAGGCTTTGATTCTTTTTGTTGTTGTTGTTGTTTCTCTTTTATTTAAATATAAAAGACACTCCATCCTGCAGTTGAAAAAGCTGTCCTGTTAACCACATCCCTTTAACTCACTTGTTCTTTGTATTTTCTAAGGAGTCTCTTCAGTTCGAAAAGAGATCATCAAGAATAAAATCAGAGCCATTGGGAAAATGGCACGGGTCTTTTCGGTTCTTCGGTAAGGTTCTGTCGTTACGTTGTGGGATGAAGGCATCTGGAAAGTAGGTTAGAAGTTAGTTCTAGAGTAGTGTTTTTAAGGTGCAATCTGGTGCTGGAACTGCAAGGCCTCTGGTTTAGTGTAGGTTGAACCAGACTTCCATGGGAAAGTAACAGTTTGGAAAACATTCATTAGTACTGGCATAGATGTAGATGTTTATAGTGTGGATTTTAGAGCCAGTTTCCCCATGTTCAAATTCTGGCTTTCCTTAGCTGTGTTGCCTTGGGTTTAATCTCTGGGTCTTAAGTTTCCTTGTCTATAAAATAGAGATTATAATAGGACCTAGCACACATGTTGTTAGCTGAGTCAGATGGGATAAAGTGTGGGGAACAGTGCCTGGCTACCAGTGCCTCTGGCTGGAAAAAGACAGGCTAATTGTTTGCAGAAAGTGTTTGCAGAAAGCCTGGGTCATATGCAGGTAGAGGACCTGTCTTCATCTGTCACTCTCCTTCTGATGTTACTGCTTGGCTTTGCCGAGGCTCCCTGGCATTAACCAGGGCTTCCATGTTCCTTTGCAGGGAGGAGAGTGAGAGTGTGCTAACCCTCAAGGGCCTCACTCCCACAGGCACACTCCCCTTGGGGGTCCTCTCTGGAGGAAAGCAGACCATTGAGAGTGGTGAGTATGAAGGTGCCCCTCCCAAAAAGCATGCCCCATTACCCGAAATCTGTGACTTTGTGTAGGACCTGGTACTACAGCAATGGATATTTATCTAAGGGAAGATGAATCATGACCCTTATTCTTACCTGTACACCAAAAAATATTTCAAAGTACATTGTAATTTAAATGAAAGAGAAATTTTTAAAAAGTGTGGAGAATAGGCATTGGAGTAGGCAGTCTTTAATGAAAAACAGAAAGGTACTGACCTTAAAAAAAATAAAGTTTATTAAAGTCAAATTACCCTTATGAAAATACATAAGAGAAGGAAAAGGCAAGCCACAGAGATTTCTGTACTATCTATGTCTGACAAAGGCCTTATTTCAGGATAGACAACAAATAATAAGAAAAAAGAAATTTAAAATATAGCCCATTGATTTTTTTTTTCAGTTTATTTCACCAAAGAGGATTTCAAGATGGCCAGAAAACATCTACAAAGATGCTTAACATAGTTAGCTATCTGGAAGATGAATGTTAAAATGTAGTGAAATACTACTGCATACCCACAAGATGGCTGAAATTAAAAAAAATCTGACAAGATCAAGTATTTGGCATGTCTATGGAGGACTGAACTAGATACAGGCTAGTGGATTTATAAATAGATTCTACCCCTTTGGCCAGCTGATGGCCAGTAAAGCTAACACATTTGTCCCCACACCATGCAGCTTCACACCAAGAGCATCGAAGAGGAACTAACGAGCATGTCTATCAGAGGGGATGCACATGGATGTTTACTGGAGTTTTATCATGGCAGCCCCAAATCAGAAGCAACTCTTCTGCCAGTTGGTAGCGAATAAGTTGTACTGTATCGATAGAGTGGGCTGCTGCGTATCCACTGGACATCCCAGCATGAGCTCCGAAAGTCAGTGACATTCCTGAAGAAATAGCATATAAGTAATCCTAAATTGATTTAAACACCATTTCAAACCAGCAATGAAGAAGCATGAAATATGTTGGGACCAAGTCCAAAAAGTGTGAAGAAACATATATATCCCAAGTTAACACATCTATAAAGTTCTCTTGCTGCCCTTGATTTAAGATTTACTCTTTCAAGATCTAGCAAAAACCTTAAAAATTTAGATTAGAGCAACTTTGTGGATCAATAAATTTTCAAAATTTTTCAAGTAAGGAAGCTATATAGACATTTCTCTCTGTTTCTGTCTCTCTCTCACACCCATGTTACTTCCTATTACCCCAAAACACCCTCATCAGAGCTGTTCACAGAAAATTTCACATGAGTAATTAGAAAATAAAGTAAGAGTGGATAAGTATTTTTCAAAAAAACAAAAACAAAACCCTGCATGTTTCTTTAGGGGTGTGGTCTTAGGTTGACCATGCTCCCTTCAGTGGATGGCTTCACAGCCATGTTCATTCATGAGGGACAGCACTAAATAGATTCATTGAGTTCTTAAGCAAAACAGGAGAGGCTATGAAGGAAGAAGGAGGTGGATATGTACACTGTATATATAAAAATAAAAATCTTGCAGCCATTGAGGTAAGGGTGCATTGGAAATATTTATGGGTCTGTGAGATGACTTAGTGGGTAATAAAAGATATTTTCTGCCAAACCTGATGACCTGAGTTCAGTCCCATTTGGTGGAAGGAGAGAACTGACTCCTACACTCTTTAAACTTCATGTGTGCTGTGGCATGTTCATGAATGTACACACACACACACACACAGACACACACACACACACACACACACACACACACACACACGTACTAGAACATTTAAGGGGTTGGAGAGATTGCTCAGCAGTTAAGAGTACCTGTTGTCCTTGCAGGGGACTTGGTTGCAGTTCTCAGCACCCACACGATGGCTCACTATCGTACTTAACTCCAGAGGATATGACACCCTCTTCTACCTCCATATATGCAGGCAAAACACTCATACACATGAAATAAGCATAAACTGCTTTTCTTTGAAATGTGATGCTGGTATATACTTTACCACACAAATTCAAACACTGAACAGGCCAGCGCTGCCTGTAGAATTTAGACAAAGGCTTGGTTCCCACCTCCTCACAGCTGCATGAGCGTTGCCCTGCTGCTCTGTGAGAAGGTGCTGTCACTGCCTGATGTGACTTATGAGGTCCATCTGAGGTCGGAAGGATGTGATGTGGCAGTGCTTTTGACAGGACCCTTCCTAGGAGCAAACATGAGCGCTTGGGCTGCTCTAGAAGGGTAGCTTTGCAGCCCTCCCCCTTCATAGTGACAGGAAAAGCCACACAGTAGTCTTGCTGCTGAGTGGCCTTCCTCCCTTGCCCTTGGAGGAGTTGGCAGGATTCCAGTGGGATCTTCCTTGCTGTACCCAGAACCTTCCTGTGTGTTGCAGTCTGATAGAGAATGGCAGGAGGAAGTTTCCTTGTTGGCGCTCAGTTTTAAATTGCTTCCATTTCTGTCACTGAGAAGGGGAAGATGGCTTGGCCTGCTCTCCTGCACAAGGAACAGAAGCCCCTGCATAGCTCCCATCTCAGATGGGTACATGAGCTTGAGTTCAAATCAGTGCCTACTCCTTTATCGCTAGGCCAAAAGTAACGCCTCACTTACAACCTGTTTTTCTTCCTTTCCAAATTCCAGAGCTATTCATGGAGCTACCCTATTGCTGTTGTTTATTAAATGGTTAAGGACAGATGGATTATACATCAGTCATTTGAGAACTGAAGCAGGTTTTTTAAATAGGACCCAGCAACAGCTCTCCTGATACGATCTGAGCAGTTATAAACTCAAACACAGTTGTGATGTTAAATTATCTGATTTGACAAGTCATTTTGATGTGTGATCACAAGACATAAAATAGCAGCTGGCTATTTCACATGAAGAGAGCAGCGTTCCCATGCCACCGGAAATGTTAGAAACATAATCCACCCACCTCATGTGCACACCCTCCTTCAGCTCTTTGCAGGAATCCCCTAATTTCTTCTTACCTCAGAACTGACCTTAATGATGGGTGGGTATACTGGCAGCGGGGAACTCTGGGGTATGTCCTGGCAGCATTGCTGTTGGTTCACTCACTCTTTCTCTGTCTTCATTTTTGCATGCCACTGCTCCTGCCTTCTTGCAGCCACAGCACAAGCGACACAGGAAGGTATGGCCATTATCACTCTGTTGGAATGCCCCTGTGTCTGTGCACCAGTCTCAAAGCTTCGTCAGCATTTCTAAACTGTGACAGCAAAGGAGAGGATGGCTCTCTGCGAGCCACATCTGAGAGGAAGGTCACCCTTCCTCTCAGGTCACCCTTCCTCTCAGATGACCGTCACACTTTATGTCCTTTCTGAGTTTGTCAGTTTTATGTAACGACTGAAGCTTGTGCAGCTGGTATGATGGTAGTCGAGTGATTTAAGTAGTTCGGTTCTTATTAAGAGAGGCAGATAGGCGTGCTTTGTTGCCTAATGATGCAAAAGCTTAGCAGGCGTGGAGGCAAGAGCAGATAGGATTTACATGCTTCATTTCTGAAATTTCCCTAAGGCATTCAAACTAAGGTATCTTTGTTTCTATGGAGATATATTTTAAATAATACCATTGGAATTGATAAACCTGTATTTTGTAGATTTAGTCATTTTATTAGATAAGGTGATTCAAGGGGAATTCGTTCTTTGATGATACAAAATTGAATCTGGCTGGATTTGTAGCTCAGGGGTAGAATGTTTGCCTAGGGTGTGTGAGGCCCGGGGTTCAATCCCCAATATCACAAGAAAGAGATTTCACAGTTGAATCAGATGGGAAGTATCTAGAAGCTGTGCTGATGGTTTTTTGTCTAATGTTCAGCTCCTGGCTATGAAGATAAAAAGCTGTCTTGAGCAGATAACTCTCTTGTCACTTGTGTGTGGTCAGGGTGATACTTGTGCTTAAAGCAATGATCTGTGCTGTGCTCTCCTGGTGTTACCTTTTCCTAGAATTGAATGAGTTTCTCTTAAACAGTTTTGGTGTGCGGAGGCCAATTAAGAACTAATCTTTTTTTTTGTCAAGTTTATTTTTGCCAGAATTTTTACTCTTATGACAGTTTCTACCACACTTTGAGCTGTATGGAAGCAGTGGTTGTGAACAAAGATAACTAATCACATGTTGCCTGTCACCAGATATGTGCTCTGTGCCACCTTCCTGTGTGTTCTTAGGGGATTGCTGTGTGTTTGGAAACTTGGTCGAAGCTGTTGACTTTGTCACCTCCCTGAGCACTTCCTATCCCCTCTCTTGTTTTTCTGCAGCCGTCAGAGGGTATCCACACAGGATCCGAACCTTTGAAGAAGCCCGAGGTCTAGACAGAATTAATGAGCGAATGCCACCCCGAAAAGAGGGTGGGCAACTTGACGGGCCGGTAAAGACGGTACACCACTCACATGCTGCACGAAGGAGCATCCATGGGAAGAAAGCCCCGTAATGACTCAGAGCCCCGTGCAGCACAGATGAGTCCCAACCATGCAATCAAATGGTATTTATTTATTATTGGAAATGGAACAGAAACAACTCAAACAACTTAACTTGGAGGTGCATCTGTAATTCAGTCGCATTTATTCTGTAAGAAAGAAGACCCATTTTATAAATTCTTTTAATTTATGTTCAATATATATAAAAAGTACTTCTGTTTTGTTTCCCCCCCCTTGTCCAAATTTTAGAAGTGGATCTGGTGTGTGTGTGTGTGTGTGTGTGTGTGTTGGAATCTTGTGCTATAAAGGAGACTTTCCCCTAATAAAAAGGGACTTGAAAACCTCAACCCTGGGTTTCTGACTCAGGCTTTAGTTAGCCCTTCCTTCTCTTGTTTGGGGAGGTGATTTCTTTTTTCAAGACTTGTAACTTTGCTAACTCCAATGTGTCTTTTCACTTTTCCCCCTTTCTGCTTGGTACCAGTGAAGAAAACCTCAGGTGTCAGTGGCTAAAACTGCTTCTGTTCTGAGGGAAACTTGAACTTCCAAGAGAACAACTTAAACCAAGTGATTTTAAGATCTAGATGGGACTGTTTCCCACAATAATTTACTTTTGGACTCTTGAGTTCTGTGATTGTGGGGTTTTTGTTTGTTTGTTTGTTTGTGATACATGGGATTGAGCCCATGCCTCACACATGCTATGGAAGTACTCTGCTGTTCATCCACACATTTTAATGTGTTCTAATAAAGTTCTTCCTAAAAAGTAAGAATGAGGGTGGGCTAGTGAGATGGCTAAGCCTGATGACCTGAGTTTGATCCCCAGGGTCCACATGGTGGAAGGAGAGAACCAGCTCACAGAAGTTGTCCTGAGCATCATACAAGCACTGTAGAATACACATAAATAATCTCCAGGAGATTTGTTATTCCCATCTGGCCTCCATAGGCACTGTACACACATATACAGGCTCACACATATACACATATTCTTTAAATTTAAAAGAATAAAATAATGTTTATCTCAGCCAGTCATGGTGGCATATGTCATTAATCCTAGCATTCAGTAGGCAGAGGCAGGTGGATCTCTGAGTTCGAGACCAGCCTGGTCTACCAAGTGAATTTCAGGACAGCCAGAGGGAAGCCCTGTCTCAAAAAAGGAGAGGAAGAATGGGGTTTGAGGCCAACCTGGGCTAGATGAGCCCCTGTCTTATGGGAGGCAGGAGAGGGCACTGTGGAGGAAGAAGGATCTTAACTGTTCTTATAGTTAAGTAAGTCAGAGAAGAGACAGGAAGGCCTGAGTAGCTATCCTCTTGGATTGTCGTTTCTTTGTACCTTATACTTTTCTCTCCCCAGATCCCAGTGGTAGAAAAGACCCTTTCTTTTAGAAGCTACCCACAAAAGTCACTCTTAGGATAGATCCTATCGTAACACACGGTCCACTGGTGGAGTCCCTCACTCCTAAGGACCCTGTGGGCAGGCAGAGGAAGAAGTTCTGCAAATCCCAGGGACCACAGACAGTTCCCAGGCCCATTTGGACAGCCTTAGGCATATGTTGTAATAGCTGCTGTTTCTTCACTTTAAACTTCATTAGAAGTTTTTAACATCTTTCCAAATATAATCTGAACAAATGCTCCTCCTGGATGCCTACCCTATTTGCACAGAGCCACCACTCTATTTTAACTGCTGGCAAAGCTCTACAGTGTTGGGGTTTTCAAAGCCCTTCTTTCCCTTATAGTCTTTTTTTTGGTTTTTCGAGAGGGGGTTTCTCTCTGTAGCTTTGGAGCCTATCTTGGCAGTTGCTCTGGAGACCAGGCTGGCCTCGAACTCACAGAGATCCGCCTGCCTCCCGAGTGCTGGGATTAAAGGTGTGTGCCACCACTGTCCGGCTCTTTCCCTTATATTCTAAAGATGCCCAAAACACTTCCCTCTTACTCAGTTTTCACATTAGGTCCACAGGGACCTTCTTTTTCAGAAACTTCTCCCATCCAGAAAAATTACAGAAACCCACTTCCTAAAGCAGTTTTCCAGGAATGCAGAGCACTCCTTTGCAAACTTCTGAAGCACCAGTTTAAAATATTCCACACAGACAGGGCTTCCCAGCTGTGGCTAAAAATATACATATGAAGCTTTACACTTACCAAAGACTAATTTTTTAAATGGGAATTTGAAAATCTATCTGATACCAAGAGAACATCCCTTTTTAATCTGTGTTCTGATCAAAATCAGAATAATACATGTGTGCGCATCCATGGTATGTGTGTGCATGTGCCGGGGGTTCCTTAGTAGTGTGGCACAATGAAATCTCAAGGTGACAGATACCTCTTGTCACTGGACATTAACCATCAAAGCATACATAGCTTGACACACAAGGTGTCTTGAGTGTGGCTTCTAGCCTAGGAACAGAGGTGTCAGACTGTCATGGAATGTCGGCATTGTTCCCACCTACCACTTTCTTTCATCGTTGCCTTTTTTCTCTTCTTCCAGAGTAGCTTGCTACTCAATGAAGCAAGTTTCTCTCACTAGCAAACACTTCTTTTCTGATAACTTAGGAAAGATTTCCTGACATTTCAGAATGGGAAAGGAAAAAAACCCTGTTGGTTTGGTCAGTAGAAAAAAACATTTGATGACATTAAGGAGCAGAGGTAGGGTTTCAGAAAATGGAGTAGCTTTGAGGCCCTTTCAGCCTTGGCATTATCCCTTAGTTATTTTTCTCCATGTGGCTTTCAAACAGCAAGTCTGAGGCAGCTGGTGTATATAAGAAAAATATCCTAAGTCATGTGAGAGAGATGCAGCTGGGTTTCTGCCTTACAGCCATTGTGCAAGAGTTCTCCAGACTTGAAATGAGGAAGCCCAAATTCCTTCCCTCTGCCTTATGTAAATCTTCTAGCTGATCTCCCAAGTGTTGCCTGTATCATATCTACAAATATCTGTAAAGTTCACACTCTAGAGAATTAAGTCTATGCTGGCCAATCTGAATGACCACTCAGTTATATTAGTTTAGGAAAATCATGCCCCACACTGACAATTCTTAGTTTCCTTCATATTAGTGATCATCTGATTTTTCCACCCAATGTTTGTATTGAAGATAATTTCCTAACCAGTAAAGATTTGTTGATGTAGCATTCTAGAATCCCAGTATTTAACCTAGCTGTTATGGTAACGGTGGAACCCAGGTTTCTTGCTTTCAGTTTTCCCACTCCAGGCAGAAAACAATTCCAGACGAAGAGTGGACGTAGAGCTCAGTGTTGGGTATGAGGCTACAGTTTGCTAGATTGCTTGTGGATTTAACCACGGGGTTTGACCTCGTCTGACAGCTATCCCATCTTCCCTGTAGTCTGTTAGACTGGTGTAAAAAGCAGCCAGGATGGGCCAGCGAGACATTGAGGAGGAGGGTTTGGGTCACATGGAGGAATCCCTTTCAGTTCTTGCCATGGTCAGAAGCTCGTAGGAAAGCCATAAGAAAGAACAGATGTGTGTAGAGAAGAAAGCTGCTCAGCCAAAGGACAGGGACAATCCTCTTATCTTGGATGCCAGCAGTGAGCTGTGTTAACAATAGAGCTCTGTGCCATTGAGTTTGAGAGGGGAAACTACATGACATTGGGACTTGGGAGCTGCCCTGCCCCTATCTAGCCAGCCAAAGTGAATGGGGTCAGTGTTAGCTGCCTTCATCTATGCAGTCACAAAGGTAAAGATGATACTGGGAGCATATTCCCTCCTGGGAGGCCTTGGCCTCATGCCTCAGCAACCGTGGCAAGACGTGCTAAATAACACCTTTGTTTGAGCCAGGGTTATCCATCGTCAACACTTGTATGCCAAGTCTAGGTGGTTTCAGATCAAGCAGCAAGGACGTGGACATGACCATCCCTCTGTGCAGCTCTGAAGTAGAGCCACGCACACTGCCTGCCTGTAAGTCCCTGCCCACATTCCCTTCACTTCCTCTCCACAGTGTTCCAAGTATCCTGCCCATGTCCTTTTGGTTTTGGGGGGCATATCAAAGTGAAGTGCACGTGATTAGAAACAGGCAACCAGACATTGATTTGTGGTGATAAGATCAGACTTGGGATGGGCACATGATCACGGCAGATTTGAGGCCAGCCTTATCTCACAGTGAGTTCAGGTTCGCCAGGGCTACATACTGAAAACCTGCATTTAAAACAAGAGAAAAAGAAAATGTGTTTTCATTTGTCCCCGAACTTTTATAAAGATGCCATCGGGACCTCCTTGTGTTCCTTACTGGCATTCTAACCCATAGCTCTTCTTTCTGATAGGAGTGTCAACCAACCTTCTCCAGGGTTGGTGGGGCCCTGGTCTTGCTGCCTAGGTGATGAGGCAGTCACACATGCCAGTCTAGCTGTTGGCTCTCTTGAAGGATGGACTATTTGCTTGTGCTTAGAGGTTACCTGTGTTCTCTTGCTTTCTGTTACATTAAAGACAGTTGTGGAAATGTTACTTATCAACAGGAGACATTAATAAGTCTGTGAATAATAAAACTTTTGTAAGAACTTTCTTACTGTATATTGGAAGTCATCTTTAAGATTAAAAGAAGAAAATGCCCTTGAAAATTGAAGGATAATTTCATTGACTCCCTGTGTCTTTATTTCCTTGATTTCTTAATAGAAGCACTTATCATTTGGCTCTGACCCAGGTAATAAGTCCAGAGACGAGGGAAAGCCTGGTATGGTCTCCCCCCCCCCCCCGCCCCCCCAGCCATAGTTAACTCTCTAATGACCTCTTCTGAGTTTCTGCTTTTTCCCACATGAACCCCCTTGCTTTACCTCTTGCCCCCTCCTGGAATTAAGCCCACCACTAACTGGCTCTCATCCCTGATCCTTTTGTGACCTCTCCAGCAGAGGCCCCTCTTTGACATTTGAAAAAAAAAAAAATGACAACCCAGAAAACATAGTCTGCAAAGCACAAAATATGTTTTGCTTTTGCAATTGTCATTTAATAAGTTTTCATATGATCTTAACCATAGATGTGGGTGGATTCCAGCCTGGGAAAACTCAGAAGCCAGAAGGGAGTTGATGGAGAGTTGTGATACCAAGCGTAGAAGGAAGGACCAGACCAGCCTTGGAGTCCTCTGAAAAGCACATAGATCCCAAGGGGCTCTGAATGTCCCAAGAGCAGATAAGCATCGCTGCACAGCTTGGGGCTGGAGATAGGGAAAGGCTGGGGCCCTGGAGAGGGACTTGGAAAGATTGTGACAACAGAGGTGGAAAGGCTAAATCTAGGTCTGCTGGACCCAAATTGCAACATTGACATCAAATACAGCCACAGTGTGCAATTTTCAGACCAGAAAAATGAGCCCCTATTTTTAACTGCACAAAAGCCAAGTGTACATTTTATGTTCTGTTACCCCAGTGACATCCTGAGCTAACAGTGGCCTTATCCCTCAGATAAAGCCCCAGTGAGATGAGGTAATGTTTGCCCTTATTTACAGAGTCGTGGGAAGCTGCTTAAGAGCCTAGGAAAGAAGATGAAACACTGAGTCACATTGACCCCTGCTAGGTCAGAATCTAATCCCTACTTTGTTGTCTGCTATGGGTAGTTAGATGGCTTTTCTCTTCTTCTTCTTCTTCTTCTTCTTCTTCTTCTTCTTCTTCTTCTTCTTCTTCTTCTTCTTCTTCTTCTTCTTCTTCTTTTCTCTTCTTCCTCCTCTTCGTCCTTTTCTTTTATCTTTCATCATCTTTCTTTTTCTTCCTCCTCCTCTCCTTCCTTCCTTCCTCCCTTCCTTTCTTCTTTGCTTTTTTAAAGATCACAACTCAAGATT